TGTTGCTGGAGCTGTTTGTTCTACCATGGTGTTGCAAGAGAAGAGCAAATCTGCAGAACAATTTTAACTCTTGCTTTCTGTTTCTTTAAAAAAAACCCGAACACCCTACCCCCTAAAAAAGCCCAATGCAAAACCTTGGGGCTGCTGATAAAGATTTTTTTTCTGTCTTAATGAAGTCAGGGCTCAGTAGTCCTGATGAGCCTCAGAGGTTCTTCTGTGAGCTCAGTAGTCTCGAACTCTTGTGCTTTGTGGCTTGCTTGGCTTTTTGCCTCTTGCTAGCAGGCATAAACCCCACGATAGTTTCCGTCCTCAAATTTTAGATGCTTTTTTGGTGTCTTTTTATGTGTGAATTAGTCTGAGTGAGTTTGACAAAAAAGATAGTTGCTTTCAGAATGCTTTTTTCTATCCAGAAAATCCTGCACCCAAGAGTACAAAGCTCTCCCCTCTTTATTTTGTCAGGGTTTCAGAGGCATGCTAGTCCTGGGTGGGGCAGTATCTACCACAGATACTCTTGCTTGCCTAAAGGCTTAGGCAAAGGGATGTTTCTAACTTTGTTACATTCCAAGTGTCTTAATTGAAACCCACAGGCTAATTCCTTCTTCTATTTCTAAATTCCTTTGCTGAGAACTTAAATAATGAGGTGGTGAAGGCACATTTAAGTCTTAATGTGAGATGACCCTTGGTAGCTTGTGCTGGAATGGTTGGACAATTTCTGTACTCCATTTGCCAATCTAGTCTGTATGCTTCTCCTAGGCACGTTCATAATAGTGCTGCTCTGCCAGCTGTTCTGGGTGTGATAACTTTTGTCTTTCAAAAACTAAATAACACAGTTCTGTCATGTAAGCATGTAATGTGTTTTGGGGAAGTAAGAAAGCTGGCTCTCAGTATGAGGCAGAGGTTGAGTAAAGGACAAACCACAATCCAGTGAGGCTTTTGTTTTTACCTCTATTTTTAGATCATTTAGATTCCTTTTCGCTTCCGAACATGATATTCACAAGGTAATAGATTGGGCTTGAACTGCAGTTTCAAGGTGCCCCAATAAAATTAAGGGACGATGTTTGAGGGTGGAGGAGGTACGTAAGGCAATAAAAGCAGCTGTTGGGGGCGACTGAATGCCGGGACACAGGCTGGGCATCCGATCACAAGAACTGGTTGTTTCGAGCGTATTCCAGTTGCGTGGACGTACATCGTGTTGTATAACAGAAACAGGCTTCAGCAAGCAAGCATCTGGGATAGGAAGCTTTTCTTTCTTCTGTTGTCATCATGAGAGTTTCATTTTGTGTGTGTGTGTTTAGGTTTCTTTTTATTTCCTCTTAAAGGAACAAACTGTTCTGACATCGGCCATTACAAGTCCATTAAGTGACTGGAGCTACAATGGCCAGAGGAAACAGTCAGGAGGTGATGAAGCAGAATTTGGCCCTGAGTCAGTCCTTGGCTTTTATTGTCAGGCTTTGGTAGTGTGAAAAGAAACACAAATATTTTAGTGACTTGGTGAATTTGTTTCTCACTGGGCTGTGTCTTGCTGACATTTTTAATGGCTTGTGTGAGAAGTTGACTGGCTGGAATGCTGTGTGCTTTGCTGAATGGTAATACTGGGGTTTTTTGACTCAATGTGGCTAATTTGTTACCCAAATCATAATGTCAGCCTCCAGGGGTTAGCTTTACAGGCTCATAGGAATCTAAAGAAAATTAATTTGAGGGATAAAATTACTTGTCACTGTTGTTAACAAAGCACCAGAATTTCAGTTACAAATTTCTTTCCAGGGATTTATAGCAGAAAGCTTGACACAACCCTAGCTATAATGGCCAATTACAAAAATCCTAGCTTCAGAGGCTTTTATAACGCAAATGTGAAAGCAGAGCCTGACTGGGTAAGTGACATCTATGGGTTTTATAACTGAGCAGGATGTTTTGCGAAGATGGGAATTGTGGGGATTCTGATTCCTTGCTTAACTAAAATAGAAAGGATGCTCTGATACTGAAGAGTAGTAGAGAGTAGTATATACATTCATATTCTTTCTTTCACCGTTGAAGACTACGTAGTTCGCGTTTATTGAAGTCGTGTTTTTTGGTGTGCTACTGCAGCACACGAAGCATGAGTACTTAGACAAACTGGACCTGAGGTCTGGAAGGAGCAGCTGTAGGAGCAAGGCCTGTTGGAGTGAGTCCTGGCGGGCTGAAGCTGGTGTGATGCTGAAGAGGAGCTGTCGCCTCCTGCTGTGCCTGTGAAAGGGCTGAGCCCCCCCAGAGTGGGGTGTGTAGAGCTCCTAATGCACAGGATTTATAAATCCGTGACCCTTTTCATAACTGTTATCCTTTTACACAGTCAATACAACTATTTTTGGCCTCTTCATGCTTTGCATTGGTTATCTTAAGGAGTAAGCATGGTAAAAGAACATGAGAACTCGAACTTTGGGATTACTCTTTATTCTCACAGAAGCTTAAGGAAGGAGAAAGGCAGACTGAGCCTTAGGAAAGCATCCTGGTACGTAAGAATGTACCTGGTGGTGTTGACTGAAAAGGGACAGAGGTTTATTGAATGATGTTTAGAGAGAAAGAAGGATGTTTAAATCTCAATACATTCAATATAAATAGTATTTGCAATTAATGTAAATGGAAAACACTATCAGGAGTTGGACAGAGTCTGTGACTGAGTTTTGTACAAAGCTAGCTTTTTGGTCCAACAGTGACAGTTAATCTAGTCTGTTCCTGTCTTCTAAAAAACAAACTTGGAGGGGAAAAAAATGGGATAAGTATATTCAGTATATTTGGAGTTTTAAGTCCTGACCCTGTCAGTCTCCTGTGAGGTGGGTGCTTGGTACTGAGTATCCTGCTGGTAACTCCTATGTGTCTTTGATGGCAAGGCCCTGTTTCACTGAGGGAAGACAGAATGGTTAATAAGATCTTTTAGGTAATTTTATTCTCCAGAACAACACCTTGAACTTCCACCTTCTGTTTTAAGCAAGGTCTGCTGCATTGGGCGATCTTTGATTTCTCATTGAGCTCAAGGTGCAACTGAGGAGTAGGCTGTGTTGGGTCAGCTTCAGCTGGCAGAGAGGAGAGGCACAGAAGGGTGAAACAATGGCTGCTGGCTGCCATGTTGCAGCAGATGTGTGGTCTTTGGCATGCCCTAAGCAGTTTTTTGTCCGTAGCCTAAAAAGAGTCCAGAACTGAGGTTTTATTTTAAACTGATATGAACATTTTCATAAAGCTTAAGTCTTCTAACTGTCATGGCATCTCATTTCTTACCTATATGACTTCTCTTGTCTGGACTAAGCTGTAACCACTATTACTTGTTTATATTTTATATATTCCATTAGGTAAAAACACACCTGGTCATTTGTTCCACTGCTCCAGTAGTCTGTGTGTAACAGGTTTATGGCTAGATGTATTAGTTTCAGATGCGTATTGGGCCAGAAACAAGAAATTTTGAGGTCATCTACCTAAGGAGCCTTCTGGTAGTATTCTGTGATTTTATTATTTCTTTTTAATTTTAACAAACATCTGGGGTTTGTAGGTAGAACTTCACTGTACAACAGTCTCAGTTGCTGCTAAGTCATATGATCTTTTAAGTGGTGCCTTTTAATCATAATCTGTTATATCTTCAGACTGCATATTTTTTCTTCCTTTTCATGATTTCATGAAGTGGAACACTTGAGTTTCAATCCAAATTTTTTTTCTATGGCTTCATTCTAGTGCAGGGACAAAGGGTCTGAACACGATGGTCTTATGCTTTGTTGTGGTAAGGGGCTTGGAAAAATTGGTGCCAGCTGCTACCAAGAAGTTCTACAAGAGAACATCCCAGGCAGCATTGTGCTGTGGGTGCCTGAAGCTTACCTTGAGGCTGGTCTGTCAAGAAACTCGTGGAATCTTGAGGGCCTCTTGGAGATTATGATCTGTGCTGCAGCTGTCAAACTGAGTTTGCCTGGTGGAAGGCACTGCCTCCCTTGGCTGTGGTCTGCTGCATGGATTTGGAGGTTAAAGCCTTTCACAGGCTGCATGTGTATATTTTCTTCTTGGCTGCAGCAAGCAGGCCTGAAAATCCATGGTGGGCCAACTTCCTTTGCCTGGTCTGTTGTCAGCAGGTAATTCACTGTCACTTAAATGCAGGTGATGAGGCATAGTCTTGGCCTTAGCACTGCTCGGTGCAGTTTACCCAAGAGGTGTCCTGTGATATGGGCAGAGCTCCGCAGGAGGTGACTCCGCCTGGTTTAGTGGGACAGCCTCTGTAAAATTTGCAGGAGCTCCTAAATGGCTTCCTTAACCCGGGAACCTGTCTTCTCTCTGAACAGCTGGAGGCCACTGCTTCTCCCTCTGCTTTGTCCTGTAGGTGCTTGCCTGTCCTTCTTCCTTGTCCTGCTGGGTCCTTTTGGATGTCTCCATGAGCCTAGGTGGTGGTCCTTTGGTGCCACACCAGTAGGGGCATCTGAAGGGAAGGGCTTCTGAGCCCTTCCCACAGTTTAGCTGGACTTGGCTGTGACTGATTGGTTCCTAACCCAAGTGTGAAACCAGGCTGGATAAGGATGAAAGTGCTTCAAGGGATATTCCAGCAGTTTTACTACGGCAGTTGCTGGGCTGTGTACTCAAGGAGGATATGATCTGCATTAGAAGCTTGAATAAGGACCTCGGCAACTTTTGAAGTGATGCATCCCGGTAAAAGAGCATTGACAAAGTCTGTTGATGAAACTGTGGGCTTTTAATAGGTTGCTTTTCACCAGGCTGGAAGCCTGTGAACTTAATGCCTTGTATCCTGCCCAGGAGGTGCTGTGAAGCTGATTCTAATGCGAAGGAGCTGCTGTGGTTGCTAGTGGAAGTTGAAACATCTGTGTGACTCCACTGGTACCACAGTCTTATAGAGGTTTGAACAGCTTTCTTGACAGATTAGGCAAAAAAATCTCCCACTGAGTCAGGATACTGTTTAATATGACCTGTTTTGAGCAATCTAGGATTAAGAAGAATACATTTTCACCTATTGTTTTCTTCTTATTTTCTCTTTCCAGATGAACACAATGATGTACAGAAAAAGACCTTTACGAAATGGATAAATGCTCGGTTTTCCAAGGTAATGTTGGATTGGAAGTACTGTTTTATTTTTTGATTCACTGTTGAGAACAATATTGTTTAAATATACTTTGCTCTTACTCTTGTAGGATACTCCTAGTAAAATGTGTCGAAATATGTACTGAAAACAGGTTAAATACTGTAATGTTTGTTCTCTCTCCGTTTCCCCACATAAACATTTGATACTACATGTTGTTTAAGAAAAAAAGATAGATTCTGTTTGTTAATATATTGCAATACAGTTATTTGCATGATGGTGTCTGTTTGCGTTTTGGTCATCTTACTTTATACAGTTTGTTTCTACATTCAGTTTTCTGAGTGCAATACAGCAGATTTTGAACCTTAGTCACTGTGTTTATTCTGCTGCTGAGTCAGCTTTACTCATCCAAAATACTCTGCCAACCTCCAGTTGAAGCCACCTGGTATTGCTACTTGAGTCTTGACTGTGAAATTTTGAGTTTTCCTTGGATCTCATGCTGTATGTTTCTTGTTTCATTTTAATTCCTTTTACTGACTTAAAACTTACTGAGGGAGGATCTTGTTTTCTGTTTTGGGACGAGAAAGGAAGTGGTGGTTGCTTTGGGATCCTATTTAAAGCCCGTTTTTTTATGCTGTTCTGCTGGTAGTAAAAAATGACAGTTTGCCCAGGAGTGCAGTGGCAGTGGGATTTCCCTACTTTATGGTTTGAATGTGTGAAGGAACCTGGGTTATTATCAGAGAAAACTCGTGGTTTTTTCCGGCCAGTATGGTGCTGCCAGTGGGATAACTACTCGTCTGTACCCTGTTAATGAAAAGGGGCATGCATGTGAAATCCTGAAAGCAGATATAAATATAGAAGGAAGAGGGTGTGTGTGGATGTTTTGGTTTGGTTTTCTTTTTAAAGTAAGCAATGACAGTGCTATAGCAATGAACGGCTGCCTCTGGAGCGCTGCCCTTCTGAAATTCTTGGGCAGCAATGCAAGAAATTTTTACCTACCTTCCCTTCCTGTGCAACAGGACACTAGGCAATGCAAGGCTTGTGGCCTTGGTTGATTCACTTTGGCTTAGGTTTGTTTTGGTTGAAAGCTTATATCCTGCGCTCTTTATCCAATGCATTCTTGGCTAGTTTGCTCTTTAGAGGAGGAGTGTGTATGTGTAACTGGTGCCTCTACAGCCCGCTTTTGGCTGCTGCTGAGAAGAAAGACGGTCCTGTGGGAGGAGGGTTAGGCAGGGCAGGATCTAGTAGAGAGTGAAAACGTGGTGAGAAAGGAAGGATTGTTTGTAGAGACTTACCCTGATATAAAGATGGCATGAATATAGAAATGACAGTGATATTGAGAATGTGCTGTGTAACTTGTTTGTATGTTACAGACTTTGTATTGAAATAGATGCAATTGTTTTCAGTCTTTATACTTGTACATCTATGGATATATTTTATAAAGTGGCTTTTCCTTTTATATTATGTATTCAGGCAGATCCTGCTTTGCTCCTGGATTTCCCTGCCATGGGGTATAGACAGATAGTTGTTGGATTTGAAGTAACTCTGTAACTTCGTGGCCCATTAAACCACCGGAAGCTCTGAAACCCACATTAGTGATTAAAGAGACTTCTATAAAAGGACGTACTCCCAAGTGCTGCATGTCCAATTCAAACTTGAGCATGGCTACTTTGCCATAACAGGATGCAGATTTATGCAGACTGGCATGTTCAGATTGTAAGCAAATTGCTGGTGTTAAGTAGGAATCACATGTAACAAAGTCTAGTTTCAGCTGTGACTTGAAAAGGTAGAGACTGATTTCAGTTTTATTGAAGTTTTTGCATTTATGAAGTTGTTTGGGTGGTTAATTCCTGTTCTGTGAACTAGATTGATCCAACTGCTCAGCAGGATAGAGAGATTTTAGAGGCTGGGTAAATGTAATCTGATTTACATTACAGAAAACAAAAACTGAGGAATTCTATATGGAATTGCGAAGTTCACTCCAAAACTTAACTCGTCCTTCCATGTTAATTATATTGTAGTTGCCCTTCAGTTAAACACATAAATAAAAAATAACCAGCTGAGCCTCTATAAACTAGTTTGGCATACAAAAATCCTAAAATTACAATTGCATAATGTACTCAAAATCGCTGAACTTGGTTTAAATCCAGTATGGTTTTACAAAGGATCAAGACAGACAGTAATGTCTTTCTCTTCTCTCATCACAGAATAGGTAGAGCAAAACACAGTGAGTATCTCAAGTATGCTGTGAGGTACCCGTATCTGCTTCTGGCACCTATTCAGTGAGATCTAAGTTCTTGCTCTAGTTCACAGTACAGTAACTTGTGTTTGTGCTCTTCATTTGAACTGTGCTAGAACAAAATGCATCATCTTTTGCATGTATTTTTTTGAAATGAAAGCACAAGCACGTTTAGAGTGGATTGAGTCCTAAGGTCAATAAATGTACTTGTCCAAGCCTCAGTGTTTGCTGTAGAAATCTTTACCTTAGCAGAGCCATACACACTACAGCTCACAAGCCTATGATGATTGTCTAGTAAGAGTATTTTGTTAAAATTAAAAAGAATAAAAATTGTTAGAGAAATAGTCTATTTCTCCAAGCTTTAACCAATAGGGAAGCTTACATTCAAATAAATGTTGATACAGAGCATTTCAGTGTATTTTTATATTAAGCCATGTGATGTTTTTCCTTAATGTGCGTTTTTTCCATTGCTCTGTCCAGTCTAATTTCAAGAGTCGGATTTATCTGTTTTCCTGTGGTAGAGGCCAGCAATTGAGGAATCTAATTGAATGAATAGTTAATGTATGCTCTTCAGACTCTGTAAAACTATTTTTCTATCTTTTTTTTTATATCAGTTTATCCCTTTCTGTCCTTTTTTCTTTAATACTTAGCAGTTCACAAGTATTAATGGATGTATTTTCAGAATACCTTTCCACAATGCGAGAGTACTATCTTCTGTGTTTACAGCCACTCCAGACAAAGGTAAATATCAGAAGTAGCTACTAATTTTGAGTGCCCAATCTGAGACTTCGGTTAGATTACCCAGAGGATTTGAGATTTCTGTAATATCTTCACGTAAACCAGAGCTTTTGTTGAGCCTTATGACAGAGCTCAGAGGGTTCACCTCTTCTGCAAACTCAAGCAAACCATCTAAAATATCTAGTTGGTTTTCAGATGGAGCTTGATCACTGTAGAGAAGGGACTTCAAGATGATGTCTGTGTCAGCAGGGGTTGGGCTTAATGATCTAAGGAAGTCTGTTAATGTGACACACAGTTAGTGATTACCTGTAAAATTGTGCTTTAAATTATTCTGATTAGTTACAGGGGAACTCTTGGCTAAAAGTAGAGTTTGAATTCAGGTTCACAGGATAGTTTAAATCTGCAATTGCATGGCATATGAGCAGGCCTGGGACTTTTAGATCCATCATACAGACCTCTGAGACTTCAGCTAGTAATTGCATAGCGTAGTGACTGGATGCTTGCACTCACAACTCTATAAGGTTTCTAGAAAACTTGATAGGCATGTTGAGGGATTCAGGAGTCTTGTGTCCCACTTTAGACCCTGCAAGTACAGATTTTTCTGCCCTGTTTTCTTTCTTTACTCCTCCTTTCTGACCCTGTTTCTTCCCACCCCCCCTTACTATTACACCCTCTTGTGTCAGAAAGCTTGCCTGCCTAGCAAATCCTGGCAAATGTGGAGTTTTGATTGCCCTGCCTATTTCATTCCCACTTCTGTCTTTGTCACTTAGTTGCTTACCCAGCAAGACCCAATTTTTCTTGTTAAAGCTCCAGACATGCTCTGCCTGTCCTTCTTTTCCCCTTCTCTCACTTTATATCTCCTCACCTTCCTAGCCTTTACAGGATTTGATGCTTGTGTGGTTGGTCCTATTTTTGCATCTCTCCTTGTCTAAGCAGTCCTAGCCTTGTTGTCTTTTTGTCTCCTTGCAGGGGTCAGTATTTGCTGGCTTCCGTGTTCACATTTTCCAGGGTACTTCTTTTCCAAGTTTGCTCTCAGATTGGTTACTGTCCTGTCTTGCTATTCCTGAACTTGGCAGGTAGGACCCAGAGTTTGCGCAAGAAACATGATGCCCTAACTCTTAATTTAGACCCATGGAGTCAGATCTGTCACAGCCTGTTGGAGCTTAGCGCTGTCACTCTAGAGGAAGTTCACAGATCCAGCATGGGCAAACTGGGGCTCTTCCCCAAAGAATCATGTCTTCATTACATTTAGGAAGTTCTCCCACAGGGGTGGCAAAACTGCTTTATTGCTAGGAAGGTTGTGCTCTGCAAAAAGAACATAAAACCCTGAGATGTTTGTGGTATTCAGTGAAAATGACAGTGTTGAGGGTTTCCCTGCCCCTCAAGTCAAAAGCCTTGGGTATGGATGGCTGTTGAACGGAGCCAGCTGAGGCCATTGTTCCATGGTGTCAGGAACTGCCTTCAAAGCTCTTGCATGCCTGAGAGCTGTGCCTCCCTTCCCTTTTTGTCACATACTCCCATCTCTTTCCAATCTGACCTCTCAATTTAATTCTTCTTATATACAGAAGCCTTACACGCTCTTATTTCTGCATTTGCAGCGTTCTTGTTCCATGTATTTCCATGATCCTAGTCCTCCAGGTCCTGTGCTGGTGTCCTGACATCTGCATTGGCCAGCAGCTGCAGCACTGGCAGGGTTTGGACCCACAGTAGGACCTCCTGGTGTGGGTAAAGGCAGACCTTCCATGCTTTTACAGCATCTTAAGCTCCTGCTCTGCAATCTTCCGAAATGCATGTCAGTTTAGGGTTAGAGAGCAAAGAAGAGGCTGAGGTGCAGCTTGGGAGCGGACTGTGTCCTCCAGGGTGGAGCTTCAGGTTGGTCTGTGAGAAGGCAAATGCTTGGTGCTGGGTGTCCTGTGTGTTTTCCCTCCTGGGCTCTGACAGGTCCCCTCCTGTGGAAGGACACCTAATAAAGTAAAGATGAGAAAAGACAGGGCAGAAGGCAAACTGGTGAGCTGTACTTGGAGTGCTTTGTGATGTGGTGGCTTTA